ATTGACGCCCGGTGGCTGAGCGGTAGCGCTTCGCGCTGTCGTGCCACAGGTCCCTGGTTCGATCCTCGGGCCGGGCAAGGTTGACTCAGCCTTTCATCCCTTCAGTGGGTCGATAAATGAGTACCAAGCATGCTTGGGAACTAAACACTGGGGGTTCCGCGTTCGACTGACCACCTGACCGGAACATCTGCTCCTGCACCCCAGAGCCCAAGGTCAAGAAAACTGAGATGGGCACAGTAGGCATTGGCCCTCTATGGGCTGTCGCGCCACTGAGTTTAGTTTGAGTTCATGATTCCAAGTTCTCATCAATAAGAGGACTTCTCAGTTTACTCTTGATAATGTACATGCTTGAAAAAGATTGTTCGCATATATATGTAGAACCAAAAAGGGAAAGAACAGCAAACGTGACCTTTTTCAGCTGATCGTAAGAATCAGGAATACTATTCTAAGCGTTGAAAATGATCATGTCTTCCTTCTCCAGGTCATTCAAAGCAGACCACTTGTGTTTTGAACTAAGATGAAATTTTTCTTCTCCAATATTCCCAATTCAACACAAAGACGTTCGAATTTAGATATAGAAAATGATAATATATAATATTTAAATCCAGCAATTGTATTCCAAAACTACCAATATCAACTTCAAAAGGAGAAAGTTTCAACTCGGTTATCGTAGCATTAAGAGGATGAAGATTTTTGACAAATGCTAAAGTTGCTCTGCTGTTTTCAAATTCCTGAAACCTGCTGAGAAATGCTTCCCGAATGTTTAAAATTATTGTTTTAAAATGGTGTTTATCAATAGAGGAATAATTTTCTTGGTGATGCTTCAGCAGGCCTGGAAAGTGAAACAATGTTTCCCTTTCAAAATCCGGAGCAAAAATGGATAATTTGTTTTTGAATGTTATTACTTCTTCTAACATCGAGAAAATTAAGTTTCCTTTCTCTTGTAGTTTACGATTAAGCTGATTTAGATGAGACATAACGTCTATCATGAAATAAAAGTTTTGGATTCACTGATCGTCTGTTAGTTCTGGATAGTGAACGCCCTTCTCAAGGAGAAATGCTTTTATTTCCGGAAAAGGGACGCGAAACGTTTTAAAACGTTCCCTCCTGATAACCAATGTACCTTGTTATGAAGCAAAAGATCAGCGTACTCACTCTCCATTTCAAATAAAAATTCTTTGAATTGGCGATGATTAAGAGCTTTAGCTAAAATGGAGTTAATAATGGTAATCACTAATTCCATAACTTTGCAAATTTCATCTGGAAATGTTTGCACACAAAGCACTTCTTGGTGAATGATACAATGGTAAACAAGTATCTCGTGATTAATTTTTTCTTTCAAGATAGAAACAAACCCTTTCTTACGCCGGTCATACTTTTGGCCCCATCTGTTGAAATCGACACAATTTTATCGAGGGGAATATGATGTTTATCCATACACTCAATTACAGCATTTGCGATATCTTCTCCACGCGTCTGACCTTTCAGTGGCAATAACCCTAAAAGTTCTTCTTTAGGGCCTGAATAAGACATAAATCTTACAAAAAGTGACACTTGTGCTGTATCATTTATGTCACAAGACTCGTCAACTGCTATTGATAAAGCTGAAACCAATTTCAGATCTTCGATATGCTGGGTGGTTATAGTCGAACACATTTTAATTGTTCTATCTTTAATGGTTTTGGCAGACAATAGTACCTCTTTAATTCTTTTCAGAATATCTGCTTTGTTCTTAAAGTCCCGAAATAGCTCTTCGGATTAATTTATCAAAATAAGATGTAATTTCTTTCTTACCAAGTTTTTTTTAAAATGAAAATATTATTGTGCCTTCCGTGGATAATTGAGCCAGAGCCCCACTTAAGGAGCCAAAGAGCCACATGCGGCCCTGGAGCCGCACTTTGCCGACCACTGCCCTAGAGCAAAGTAAATAAATTACTACTGCTACTCAATGCTTGGAAAGTTATGTAGGTTAATAAATATTTCAAGGTAGTTTCCTTTCCTCATATGTTAAATTCCATAAGAAAAGTAGAAATTTTATAATTAACTATAAATATTGCAATGTGATATTTAAGAGATGAATTAAATTTTTCTTGTACATAAATGCAGTTTTTTAGGTTTTTTAGAAGTGATGGCTTTGTCTATGGCTAAAACTGCCAACCCTGCTTTTAATAAAAACCTTTTCTGAAATTTAAATGTGATTATTGAGCAATTTTATTTTTAGAATGTGAGTGTGATCCAATTGGTTCAACATCACCCCAGTGTGACCCATCTGGACAGTGTCCTTGTAAACCAAATGTTGAAGGACGTAAATGTGAACGTTGTAAAGAAAATACTCATAACAAAGCTGCTGGATGTGTTGGTGAGATATAATTTGTATTTATATTTCTTCTTATCTTTATTTTAGAATATATATATATATATATATATATATATAAATATATACATACATATGAATGTTCAAAAATAGGAAGAAACNTATATATATATATACTTAGAACAATAGATAAGATATTTTACCTGATAAAATGAATATTTAAAACAATAAATAAATATTTTTTATGTGGATATAATGCATGAGAAACCTCCAGCAACTGTGATTGAATTTAAAAACTTTTAGTTACACGGATAAATATGCCAACTCATTGTAAGCATTTTTAATCAGCTGTGTCGAGAAGGATTTTTTTAATATTCATTATAGAAAATTAATTAAACAAATTTTTAAGTGACGAAATTAAAAGATTAAAAATACAGTAACTAAACTTAATCAAAATCAGTGAATTATATTCATAAATATACGTTAAGAAAAATATTTTCTGTATATTCATGTTTTTAAAATAAATTTTAATTAAAATAATCTTAACAGCAATCATTCAAACATTCATTTACAAGGATAGAAATAAAATTTATTCAGAGGTTCAAAGGACTAGTAACTAAAACATATTACTAATCCTTGCACATTTTCACTGGTCCATTTGCATGTCTCTATTAGATATTTTTTATTAATTCGAAGTTAATAAAGGGAATTTAAATTAAAAATTATGATATATGTTACAATTATGATGAAATATACTATTTTGATGAAATATTTTCTGTATATTCCTGTTTTTAAAATAAATTTTAATTAAAATAATCCTAACAGTAGTCATTCAAACATTCATTTAAAAGGATAGAAATAAAATTTATTCATTGGTTCAAAGGACCAGTAACTAAAACATATTACAACTAATCCTTGCACATTTTCACTGGTCCTTTTACATGCCTCTATTAGACATTTTTTAATAATTAGAAGTTAATAAAGTGAATTTAAATTAAAAATTATGATATATGTCACAATTATTATGAAAGATAAGATCCATAATCAGGGCCGGATTAACCTATAGGCATACTAGGCACGCGCCTAGGGTCTACAAAATTCAGGGGCCTACGAAAAACTTGGAAGAAAAAAATTTTTTGACAAAAATAATTTAGCTTTAAAAACAACAAGTGTATTTTGCACAAAATTATGAAGATACATACAAATAAAAATATAATATTTTTCGGTAATAAATTATTTTGCAGAATCTTATGATCTAATATATTACTTTTTTGCGATTTTTGGATTCAACGAAATCTTGTATTATGCTGTCGAATTCCAACCAAACTACGCAGAATGTCGTATTCAATAGACATAAGTTCGAGCGATGCCAAACGATCTTGATTCATTGTTGAACGCAAATAATTTTTTATCAATTTTAATCTGGAGAAAGATCTTTCTCCTTCTGCATTTGATCCAAGAATCGACAAATATATTCTTAATACAATGTGATACAATGTGATTCTTAATACAAAAGTATTCACAAGTTTATCTTTAATTGCCTAGGGCCTACGAATGGTATAATCCGGCTCTGTCCATAAGAAAAAAAAATAATACTTTCCCTTCACATATGAATTGCATGTCTGAGGACATAAATATTTGATGGTAGTTAAAGTCAAATTTTAATGGTCTTGGACCACTGAAATTTTGAGCCTCAAATTGAATTTTTTAAAAATTCTTTGTGTGTTTGTCCTGTTTTTTGCGAACTTTCCTGCCTTTTTTTTTTAAAGCAAAAAATACAGTTTAACCTATGTTATTTAATAGAAGTGTAGTGTATAGAGGGAAATTTCAATACAATTTTTCCTAAGGGCTCAATGTTTTAAGGTTTAATACCATATTTTTAATTCATTAAATAAATCTTTCAGACTGCCCACCTTGCTACAATCTTGTTAAAGATGCTGCTGATGCTCATCGTGGAAAACTGGCTGAACTTCAAGAATTGCTGCAGGCATTACGAGATAATCCCCAATTGCTGAATGATGAAGAATTTGTCATGAAATTGGCAAAAGTGCAAGAAAAAGTTAATAATTTATTAGAAGAAGCTTTAGGCTCTACTGGTTTGTATTAGCTCTTGATTTTTCTTTACCTAAATTTATTTTGGTATTCATATCGTATAAATAATTTCTTAGTTACACATAATTTTTGTTAAATCATCATTTGATAATTATTGAAATAAGATTAAATGTATTATTTCTTTGAAGATAAATTGAAACATATTTTCTTATACTAGCTTATAAATAGTATCTCTAGGGAGTTTTTCCTTAGAGTCAATGATTTCAAACAGTTATATACAAAAAAATATATCTATCTCTTATAGTCTCACAACAAAAAAATTACTTTGGGTAACATTGCATAACATAACAAAATAAACATAACATAACAAAAATCTAACCATTAAGAAAATTCTTAGATCAAAATAAAAAGGCCAATAATTTTTATCTTTAATTCCCGTTGGTATAAAAAATAAAGGTATAAACAATTATGGACATTTTTGTTCTCCATATTTACCTCTCTATTTGTCTATATTTATCTATCTTCAATTTATATATATTTTACAATTACATATGATGAAATACTAGATAAATGTATGACATATGTATACTAGATATAAGTATATATGAACCAGAAATAGGAGTGTTGAGCAAGCTTAAAATATAGTATGCTATTTTAAACTATTGTGCAACTTAAATAATGTTTTTTCTTCTTTAAGATTTAGATATTATGTTATGAAATATCTGTTTGATATATATTCAGCCATTATTTTTATTTCATTGCTTTGTAAGCATGTGATGTATAAATGAACCGGGATCTGGAAGTTATCCTAGCTGCTAACTTGTATAATTGTTGAGAAATATTTCACAGAGCAGTGGTATACTAATAATTAGAGTAGAAAAAAATTTCAAATAATTAAGCTACCTATCAAAGCTAGCTGACAGATCTTATACATACAGAAAAGTATGGTAAAGCATTCCTTCAACAGCCCATTGTGGGCCAGTGGAGTCATGGAGATTAAGTCCTTAAATTTTGTGAGAAACAAGCTGATGAAGGCAGGGAAGTCAGCAGTGCATACTTGCCACCTTTACTTCCCAAACAGAGTGCGCTTTTGGCCACCACTGGGGATCAATTCCCACTTTCAGCATCATCATCATAGTTTGCCAGACAGCCCAATGTGAGCCAATGCCTTCCTCTGAAGATTTCTCCTAGACGACTTCCAATTTATCTTTGATCTTCTATTCTTTTCATTAATTGTGAGAAAATCAGACTCCACTGAGTCAGCCCATCTCAACTGTGGAATTCCCCGCTTTCTTGTTTAACTGAGTCTAAAAAGCAGTTTCTTTTTTATTGTATTATCATCACTCATTCGAATAACGTGGGCGATGCAATTCATTCTATTTATTTTTATGTATTTAATAATATCAGGTGAGTCCCACTTTCACATTACCTTAATCACTGACTCTTTGCAACACCTTACAACAAAACTTAACTTTAATTTAATTTTCCAATAACTTAATAATATTCGTTTATTTCTGACAATTTAAAAAAAGAAGTGAAATTATATTGTGTATTTAAACTTAATATTAAATTGGCTTGCTGTTCTTTTAATTGAGGGAGTCTGTCGACAATTTTATTCTCTAGAGCTGGATGGCCAGGTTGGAAATAAACTGAAAGACCTTCGAAATAGATTGGAAGATGTGAATAAAACAGCTGGTGTGATTGCTAATAAGATAATCGATGCCAAAGAAATTGGAGGTTCTGGTGAAAGAAATATATCGATGGCTGAAGACATCATCAAAAGTGCACATGATGCTCTCATCAGTGCCAGAAAATACCTAGAAACTGAAGGAATATCCGCATTAGAAAAAGCTATTGAAAGATCTGAAAAATTTGGTCAGCAGTCTGAAAGAATGTCTGAAATTGCAAGAGAAGCCAGGCACCTTGCTGACGAGTAATTATTTCCTTTTTCTTATAGTTATTGTAACTTTTTATTAAACACTCTTCTAGATCAGTGACTCATAATCTATAATACGTATATTATTATATATTAAGTATTACAGATTAGTATATATAAAAGAGCTCAAGGTGCCTTTTCAATAATAATTTCTAAATCAGAATGCTAAGGGTAATAAATGTATATCAGATCTTTTCAAAAAATTGTTCTTTGATCATCTAGTTGTCAGTTTTAGGAAATTAGATGTTAATTGATTATTCGACTGAATCTGAAATCCAATTTCAAATATAGAAGTCTTATAATTTTCTGGCAAAATTAAGACAGAGAAGCATTAAGAGCTGAATATGAAAGACGTTAAATACTCATTATTCTTCAAAAAACTAGAGTTCGTTGAGTGAGTCTAATATTTGTATACTTTCATCAGAACAAGCTTGCTGCTGCAATTTAAGAGTATATTTTGGTTCAAATCTACATAACCAAAAGATGTTCATGACACTAGAGGAAGCTCATGGATTGGATTACAATATGTTTGAAGGACTTTTTTTTAAAGTAAAATTGTTTTACTAATTCAAAAATTATTATACCAAGGTTTAGTTTTATATGTAAAATTTAAATTAAAAGACTATTAAGTTTGAGTAGTTTGAGACACCTTATCAATTTACTATTATAAAAGCTAAGAGCCATTCGTCAGTAATGGCAAATATTTTTCATGGATATATGGTCAGAGAGGATTTATTCAAAAAGGAGTTTTCAGAGACGAAAAATATTTATCAAGGGTACACAAGAGTATAAAGTTCTACTTAGTATACTTTATAGAATATAATATTAATGCTAATAATATTAAATATCATACTAACTGTATCATCTTTTTAAAATCATGTTAACTGTATTAAGCCATGCTTTAATTTTTTCCATCCAAAGGACCTGTTTTACACTAAAGTTATGTAAATAATTAAACTGTAAAATAATTGAGACATAAAAAGATAACTTCATTTTCAATAAGTTTTCAAAGCTGGTAATTTCAGAAAGTATTTGGATATTTAACTCCAGTTAGTTACTTTGAGTTATTAAGTATTTTTTTAAAGCAAAAGAATAAAATAAATACCAGTAAATTTGAGATTCTCCCAAATAAAATTGTCTTTTTAAAGTACTCCATGTTATGCCTATGGTTAAATTCTTATTTAGTTTCCTTTTTGTAAAGTTTGACTTTCAACAAATCATGGAATATTTTGTATGTTGTAATTCTCTAAACAGCATTTAGATGTAAGAACTTTAAGTTATATCTATAAATTTTTTTTTACATAGGCATGAAAAAGAAGCCGAAGAGATTATGAAAAAATCCTTAGATGCCAGGAATATTTCCAAAGAGGCCTATGACAAAGTGAGACATGCATTAGAAACTCCTGGTGAAACAGCAGACAACATCAATCGGTTAGAAAGAAAGTAAGTTAGAAAGAAACAAAAAAGTTAACATAAGCTGATTGAATTAAAAATTACAAAACCAGATGCAAAAATGAACTTTCTCTAAATAAGCTTGCATACCCTTTATGCAACCAATTTTAATTTTTTATCTTAAAAAGATTTTTTTGCATTACAATATCTTTCATTAAAAGAGTTTTATAAACAGGTCAATTAGCATATTTGAGGTTTACTCATACCGTAAAGAGTATTATTTCTTAGTACAAAGTTCATACAACTCATTAAATAAATAGTTATTCAGGGTATCACCTTTTTTTGCACAGTATTTGACTCAGGCATGCATGGAATTTCATTTCCTGAAATATAAGCCAGAATGTAATTTTCGTTCACCACTATTTCACATTCATGAAAAATATGAACAATGTTAAAGATGATAACAAGTGTGATATGAAGAAAGTTTTGGTGATCGAGAAACTCAAAATATAAAATACAATAATAATAATAATATTAAATTGAAATTGGGTTGTCTTAAGACTTTAATATATCCAGAAACAATGGTTTTGTACTTTAAAAAGATGTGATTCAACATTTTTTTTTTTAATAGAAGAAAAACGAAAAGATGAAACTTCTTGTATTCACTACATCGTGAGTTGAAATTTTGACTGTTAACTTAAATAATGAATTTAGCTAATTCTTTAAAAAACTTCCCTTAACTTTATACCCCTTAAAAAAGCTTTTAGTTCCTTTGCCACAGCACTCCATTTTTTGAGAAAGATGATGCAACTAATATTTTGGGTATACGCAAAAATTTTTAAAGTTTTATAGATTTCTTTGCAAGAATAACAGTTGCAATCTGGCTATAAATACCAATTTATTTTTCTTACCCTTGTTATTTTTTATTAAGGCTTATAGATGTGGACCATAAAATAGAAGAAGTGAAAAGATTAGCCACAGCTGCTTATGATGAAGCTAATAAAACATATGAGGCAGCACTTGATTTGTTCACAAAAGCCAATTCGATTAACTTACCGGATATTGATGTGGATGAAATGAAAGAGAATGCTGCTGCTCTTATCAAGCAGGTATTTGAAAATGGTTTTATTTTCATACTATCATTGTAATTAATGAATTATTTTTGTATGAATTGTTGAAAATCAAGCTGTCAATTAACACTATGTACAGTTTCATGATAAGCAGCTTCGTTCATATAGTATTATTCATTTGTTTAGTATTATCATTATGTATCTGGCTGCACTTTTTTTGATTCATTAAAATTTTTGTTTAGTAAACAGTAAGTAGTTCTTTCTTCTTTCGATTATTAAAATCCTAAATACAGCTATGACTCTGATCGGTTGATTTTATAACAGGAACTAATTTTTTTTAAAGTTGTAAACTATTGTCAAGAATATAATATAGTCAAGAATATTCTGTGAAAAAATACCGGCTTCCTGAAAATTTTTACACTGGGCAATAAGAAGTAAATCATCTGCAAAATCAATTTTAAAATAGTTCTGAAACTTGGAAATATTACAAAGAAGGTCATTCATAGTTAGATTCATATAAGAAGATGCATGTATATTGTATTATATGTAATATGTTGAATATTGAATATTTGTTTATGTATGCATACTTGTCTATATTTTTAAAGTTTAAATAATTAGACGCATTTGTATTTGTTAATAAAAATATTTCTAAAATTGAGCTATTGTTTTGCTTTTTGTGAACATTCTTCAAATATTGGCAATTGTGAAATTTCGTACTAATTTATGATTTTCTAGGCTAAAGAATTACAAGAAAGGGCTGATAATCTTGCTAAAGAAAATGAAGAACTTTTGGGAAAGATAAAACAACAAGTTGATGATGCTGAAGATTTACTTAAAGCTGGAGAAAAACAACAACAAGTAACTTATAAATGATTTCTTATTTTTTTAACATGAATTTTAATTGTTAAATTATTTGCTTCTTAATTTTATTAATAGTACGTTGAATTAGTAATACGGCTGTCATATGATGCTGCCAAACGAGAATATGACTTACTATAAGTTTAATAGTCAGATTGTTTGTCTTTCAAGTTGTCAAGAGTTAAAGTTGAAAAAAAGTTAGAGGAATAGTTATGTAAAAAAATTTTTAACAAATATTTTTTCTTTTATATTTTTAGATAATTGATGAGATGATGGCTACTGTTGATGCTGCTCTTGCTAAAGCTAAAGATGCAGTTGAATCTGGTGAAAAAACCTTAAAAGATGCTAAGGAAACACTTGAAACATTGAGAGGTATGATTTTAATCAAATATATTCTGTTGAAAATTCGTAGTCGTTGTGCTTGTATTTTGCATTAACATTTTGTACTAATTGCATTTTGAATTAATGCTTGACATAGTTAATTATAAATATTTATATTGAAAATTAAAAAAATTCTTTGATTTAAACTTAAATTTTATTATTATTTGCAATAAATCTTTGTAAATTTTATTCAAAACAGATTTATACATAGCTATTTTATGAATATATGAAAACTTTTCCATTTCATTAGCACAAGTAAATTTATTAATTTTCTTCCTTTTTTTTTTTTTTTTTTTGATTTACAAAAAGATGTTTGACGTTGCGTCTGGTAAGCCGATTCTATCACAGCAAGGGAGAGATATGAAAGTTTCAAAAATATAAATAATTTAAAATGTAAAGATTTTACGAATTTAAATGTAGTTTAAGTTTCCCTTGCATATTGCATTCAAAATATAGCATGAAATAAGATTACATTTTTCGAACATATTCAATATGTTACACAAGAGCGGCGACGCTGATCCATATTCAAAATTTGAGGCGTGATTTATAATATGTTCTTACAATCACGATGGTTTCAGTTCGTTTCAATGTGCAAATATTTAACAATGGCAAAATTGTGGAAAGATATTTAAATAACGTNCAATAAATCTTTGTAAATTTCATTCAAAACAGATTGAAACATAGCTATTATTTGAATGTAGGAAAACTTTTCCATTTCTTTAGCACAAGTAAATTTATTAGTTTTCTTTCTTTCTTTCTTTTTTTTTCTCTTTTTTTTTTGACTTTATCATTTGTACTGGCGAAATGGAAAAGTACCTGATTTTAATTGAATTTTACAATGACTTTTACTACTGTAACAAGTATTAAAATCAATAAATAAGTAAATAAGATGGAAAAAAATAAAGCCATAAATTTAAAAATATACATATATATTTTAATTATGAGTTGCTTTAAACTGTAAGCACTTTATTGGTTTTTAAAGCTTTAATTATTTTTTTCTTCTAGGTTTTGATCAGCTTATACAAGAGAGCAAAGGTAGAGCTGATGAAGCAATGACTAGAATTCCAGAAATAGAAAGAATTATTACTGAAGCAGAAGATAAAACTGCATCAGCTGAAAGTGCTTTAAGTGGGGCTAAGATGGTTGCCATTGACTCCAGGGATGAAGCTCAACGTGCGGAAGGCACGGCTAAGAATGCATCTGATGTAATATATACATTTTTACTTTATTGTGGATTCAGAGTTTTTATTAAATAGAATGGAGGATTATATTTATGAATAATCTTGCCTATTTGTGCCTAGTGCCCTTTTAAAAGAGGAAGTTTCCATTTTTTTAAACAAGGGAAAAAAGTGATTGAACTATTGTTCTGTTGTTAGCAAGATAGTACTGTAATGTATTGATATCAATAGTATTTATATTTGAATATGAAGTCAAAGCACAGTGCTTTTTAAAGCTATAGTAGTATTAGTTAAACGAAAAAAAAAATCACTTGAAAAAAAACCAGCGTACCACTTTCTCCATATTAATGTTTATCAAAAATAGATCACTTTTTGTGGTCTATATCTGTGGTAAAGTTATATAACAGGGTGCGTAGCGTTTTTAAAAAGTACTTAAAGGTGCTTATTTTCGATTTTTAAAAGCCGTTAAAGGTACTTTTTTCATTGGGTGTTTTTAAAAAGTGCTTAATTTACCATTTTACAAAATGAGATTTTTCCTTTACTATGTTGATTTTTCCTTTGAATTATGCAAAAAGACAGTTCATATTGTTCTATTCAATGTTTTCACAATTAATTCAACCCCAATCTATTTTAGTGTATTGTCAGTCCTCAGTGTATGACAACGTCATTCGTTTTACATGATTCAAAATTTCAAGATTTTTAACAATTGTCAAAAACAATACCAATTTTTTTTTTTTTGACATGACGGTTAAAACAAGATAAAACCGTCAATTGTCAGAAACTTTCCAAACCTGCCTAATTATGATATTTTTTTTAAGTGGTTAAAATTTTTTTTGAGTGCTTGAAAAGTACTTAAAAAGGTGCTTATTTTTTGTTAAATAATTTGGCTACGCACCCTGCATAAAGAGAAATACCATCAACAAAAGTTCATTTTTTTTATGTTTAAAAAATAATGTTTGGTTGAAAATTATTCATTTTTATCACATTATTAATATTTGCTTATATATACAGAAAATGTGGGTTTACATTTTCATAAATTATGTACTTTGTTTAAATTTTTTGTTTTTTGAAACTGAAATAGGCTGTGTCAGTAATTACGCTCCTCATTTCAAAAGCAACTAATTGAGGAGTTGCCATGAGTATCTACACTCATCTGCATGCCATTGGCTAAAAGCAGTTTTGAAGATAATTTTTTTAGCTGCTATTGGTTTTCTTTTAATTTAAATATAGTTTTAAAATTTGTGCGCACGTGAAGAAGAGGCTTTAGTTTTCAATTTTATTATTTTTTCTCTTAAAAGAAAATATGCTCTTATTTTGGCATTGGTTTCATTTGCCAGGGGGTGGCCGTGAGTATTTGTTCTTCTCAATAATTAAAAATCTTTAAAAGGCCTCTTCAATGTTTCAAGCAAATAAGGAAAATTTTCATGAATCAAACTTTTTTACATCAATTTAAACTTTTATAAAGTGAAATTGAGAAAGATTAATCTGATTTTAGATACTCAGCCGATTTAAGAATTTTTTTTATTACGTGTGAAAGTTAGACTTTGTGTGACAGTGTGCTTTAATTTGGATCTACAAAAAAATTGAACACCAGCGAGGCTCATACATTTTGGGTAAAGATTATATTATAATATTTATGTAATGATACCTACAGAATTAAGATATTATATTCTGCCATTGTTACTTTACAGCAGTGGTCCTCAACCCCCGGGCCCTTTAGTGCCGGTCTGCAGATCAAATGGTAGAAACATTAGATTATTTCCATTTTATTTATTGTCGGGTTTTGCTTTTGGGTTTATGCGACTTTCTATGGATGAGAGGTTAACTGGCAGTTGAGATAAAACTTACTCTGAAATAAACTTAAAACTAAGATTCTTCACCTAAAGCTACACCCATTCCTTGCATGTAATTGTATTTTGTTTTGAAGGCATGTTTAAATAAAATTAAATTAAAATTATAAAAGCAAAATCATCTTAAATAATCAACGTCCACGCCCCCCTTTCACATCGCCAAGGTAAAATTATAAAAAGATGACCAGTCCAAGGCCATAAATAGGTTGAGGGACACTGCTTTACAGTATGGTGAATTTATATAACTTAATTATTTTTTCTTTTAAAAATAAAATATACTCTCATGTTAGGTCAAGATCAAATAAAAATATTTTTACAATGATAGCTATGGGAGCCACGATGGCTCAGGGGATAGAGCGTTCGGCTTCCAATGAGGTGTACCAAGTTCGAATCCCAGCGATGGCTGGTGGATACAAATTCTGCATCCAGCTTGCACTGACCACAGTCTGCTGTAAAATAGCCTAAGTGGTAGATAGATCATGTGTGAGAGTCCCTTTGCCTTCTAGCTAACCGTGGGAGGTTTTCGTGGGTTTCCTCTCCATGTAAAGCAAATGCGGGTTAGTTCCATCAATAAGTCCTCTACAATGGCCAATTTCTCTCTGTACTTGATTCAGGAGTTACCTTGTCTTTTGAATTGGGTTCAAAATTATACAGCTGTGGCGTTGAACATTAGTAGTCGTAAGCCCAATCATTGAATCGACTGTTAAAGGACGGTTATAATTATAATATTTTAATGATACCTATGAAATTAAGATATTTATATTCTGTTATTTGGCAATTTACAGTATTCTGAGTTTTCTAAAATTTGTTTTTTTGTGAATGACATTCTATATTTTCTAATTGGTATTTTGGTTGTCTGAAAATTTTCTTTGTGAATGACATTCAATGTTTACTAATTGACATTTTGTTATTATCTGAAGCATGCTCAAGCTGTTTTGGAAAGTGCTGAAGAGACAAAGAAAGAAGCTGGAGAATTAAGGGATAAAGCTGATGATCTAGCTGATGGGGTTCAGAAAACAGATGATACATTGAAAGAATNGCGTTTTTTAAATGAATCAAATACGACGTTTGCCAGTTCCACAATCAAGCCAATGATTTACAGAGGTTTCATCACAGAAATCTGAAAGAGGTTTTCCATTTAGGTAGATGTTCATAATTGTGGTTGACGCTTGTTGTTTAAGACCAGTATTTAATGTGTTTTTTTTTATTTTTTATGTTCATTGCTGAAAAGCCCCTTTCAACCGCTGCAGTACTCCCAGACAGAGAAAACATCAATTCCACCATGCGCAGTATGTTGCTGTATTTCGAGATTAGAGGGTCATTTTATAAGTGAGGGGCTAGACTCTTGTAAGATAACAAAAATTGAAAATATATCACGAACATTAACGGGAAAATGGCCGTCCGCGCGGACGTTGGATTCGAGAAATTTGTTGTCCGCGGGGTATTTTTGACCGCCGAGGACGGGCGGTTTTTCGAGCCCTGACGTATGGTATATTTTCACTTTGTATGATTTTTTTCACAATTATTAATTTTTTTTAAAAATATTTTATTTCAGGCTTTGGAACAAGCAAATAGAGCCAAACAAAGTGCCACCGATGCCTCTGTTAAAGTGAAAAATGCCTTAGATACCGTTGATGATATTTTGCGGGCTCTAGGTAATTCTGCACTGAATTATTTTGCTGTATCAAATTTTAGGATCTAAGCAAATTGCTATTTATATGAACTAAATTAATTTATATTTTGTGAAGGGTAATCAAATTTGTACTCTGTATTTTTTAAATGTCATAGCAATCATGTATCTTCACCAAACCATGTATTTTTATTCATTATTATTTGGCAAATCATGATGGAAGGAAACACAGTGTATAAAATATTGTTAAACATTTATTACAAGAATAATTAATCTATTTGAATATGTTCTATGCTAATTATGATTAAATGATTTGGTAAATATAAGCTAAATTGCCAATTTGAGGGTAAGACTGTTGTTGCAAAATTCATATAGGCATCTTTCACCTGTAAAATATGTCTTTCTCTTTTTTTTCTTGATTTTATCATTGTTATTCATCTAGTTAAAATCTTGGAACTAGAAGCAATGTTCCTTTATTATAAAGTACATAATCCTATGATATTACCTTATTATGCAACATTTTAAGGTAAAAGTTTTTAAAAAGTTTTTAACCTTATTACCTAAATACAATTATTGACCCTTAAATTTATATTCATTTTCATGAATTTTGCAACAAAAGTATATTAACAATATTTTTTTTTACAATATTTTATACACTGTATTTCTATCATGATTTGCCAAATAATATTGAATAAAAGAGCCAATTTTAGTGAAAATCGAAAAAGGGACATGGTTGCTATGGCATTTAAAAAATTTGACCACCTTTCGCAAAACATAAATTTAGAATTATTAAACATTAAATTTTATTTATTCTTATGATAAGTTTTAAGTAAAACTATGTCCAGTCAGCATATGCAGTTAAATTAATGAATGCAACATTTTAAAACACTATTAAAAACTAAGTATTTGCACTATTACTCTTTGGCAAAAAACATCTTAGAAGTTTTTATAGTAACTTAAAATTAATTAAGAATTCTAAAATCAAAATTGTTGATACGTTGATAACTTGTGAAATGATAACGTTTAAATTTTAAACCAATAAATCTGGGAGCTAATGCTCTGAAACTAAATTTATGTTGATACAATAAATTTTTTTTTGTTCTTTTCATTGAATAATTTTTCATTTTAATGCATCAATCTGTTTGTTTTCTAGTTTAAGTATGCACAGTAATCTTTGAGGTTAGTGAGCAAGCCAGCAGGTTCAAAACCATTAAAAGCCATAAAAAATAACGCATAATTCAATTTTGATTTGCTTGAATATGATTTAAATTTATTTTCTTTTTGAACATCTTATTTTGAATTAATACTTTTTCCTGTGAAAAAGAAAATTTGCATTCAATTGGAAAATAAAATAATAATTTCTTAGAATTAATCAGAAAATAACAATAGCAAATAAAAAATTTCTTGATTTAATTCTAAAACTTTAGTGCAATTCATTCATTTGGGGAGATTCATTAAGTTTTTTTAAAAAAAATTTTTATAACCATCATTGAACAGCTGACCCAGTTCTGGGTTTATGACTACTAATGTTTAACTCTGTAACCTTCTAATTTTGAACCCAATCCAGAAGACAAGGGAACTTTTGGATTTAGTATTGAGATGATTTTTCCTTCTGGGGGGAGGACTTTTTGAGGGAACTAAACTTTATTTGCGTTACTTGGAGTGGAAGACCACGTGAACCACCTCTCACGGTTAGCCTGACGGCAAAGGGACTTTAACCCATGATCCGCCTGCCACTGAGGATATTTTACGTCAGATCTATGGTTGGTGCAAGCCAGGTGCAGAATTCGTAGCATTCAGCCATCACTGGGATTTGAACCAGGTTCACCTCATTGGGAGGCAAATGTTTTATCCCCTGAGACACCGTGGACTCATTTATTTATTAAGTTTTGTTCAAAAAATTGCTAGTATATTTTGGTATGTATATATACGAGCTCTGACATATTTTAAAAATATAGGGTGGAAAAAATCCTTCTGTCTAGGTGTGCCAGAGAAGGTAGGGCCGTCCTTGTTACAGAGTCTTGTAGTTTATTATAATTTCTCTTAAGGTTTTTCATATGTTAATGTTTTGAAATTTTTTGTTAGAGGGTCTTGATGACATTGATGAGTCTTTACTGGATGAATTAGAGAATCGTTTAGAAGCAGCAGAGAAAGAGCACAAGGAAGCTAATTTTGAGAGTCGCCTGCAAGAACTACGGCAGGAGAGAGATTTGCAGCATCAGTGGATGAAGGTGTATACAGAAGAAATCGAAAAAGCAAAGAAAGACGTTGCAAATATTGCTGATATACGGAATGCACTGCCCAATAAGTGTTATCGTCGGGTAATTCTTGAGCCTGAAAATTAATTTTACATAAGAGCTTGGTTGGACTTTTTAAAATTATGTTTTTTACACTGGGAATAATCATTAATTACAATTTTTAGACTTTGAAAAATATATTTATATTCGTTTTATTGATCATGTAAAATCTTCAAAACTGTAAATGTTTAAGGTTATTTATATGAGATTTTAACTTTTCTATCTAAATTATGATGGGAAACAAGTTTTGGATATGAAATGTTTTCTCTTTTATATAAAATTTATACAGAAAAAAATGCAAATACTAGAATAGGGGTTGCACCTTTCAGTTTGGAAGATAAAGTGATTTTATGAATGGCTAATATGCTGCCTCTACCTTCCAACAAAAAATTTGAATAAAATTATATAAGTAGTTTCAGAAATGTTATAACAGATTTTTAAACTAATTTTGATAAACTAGTTCGAAAATAGTTTTTTTTTTTGCTCCAATAGTTTTTTTTTGCTAATTTGAAATTGCTCCAATATTACAGCATTAAAATTCTAAATCGTTAAGCATTGCAAGTCAAGGTTTCTTTGATTTTTTTTTTTAAAGAAAAATGTCCCTAACAAAAATATTTTCTGAAAAATAGTTCAAAGATTTATCTAAAAAATAAACTTATAAATAAATTGTACTAGAATGGAAAAAGGAAATAGCTTTATCACTAAGGAAATTGAAACTCTGTTCTTATTTAAGTTTATCAAAGGAATAAACATTTTAAATACAACTGCTTTTAAATTCAAAACTATTTTGCATCTTGTTTAAGAAACAATTAAGTTATCATCAATTGATGTAAAGACTCAATTCATGGTGTATCTTGAAAGCTAAATTTTTATTTTCTGCATCCATCTTCCTGAAATAGTTGTGCAATCCTATTCTAGTGATTTCATAGCATTTAATATGCACATGAGTTAAAAACTGAATTATTAAAATTATAATATTTTATAAAATGTTAGAAGAAGTCTTATACTAGACAGTAAGTTATTGAATGAATGAATTAGTTATTTAAAAAGTTGACAAAAATTCTTGTTTGCATGCAACAAATTTTTGGTCTCATTTTGCCAATTGTTTTTTTAATTTCGGCATTCCTGTACATTTTCATATTTTTTATGCTTCTGACTTGTACGTTGATTTTTCCTTATTTTTAAATTTTATTTGTACGTATCAATATTATATTTTTGAGATTGTTTGTTTGGTGTTTTCGAAAGTATCTCAATTATCAAAGCAACTTTGCATGCGGGTAGAATTTATGTGTCAAATTGTATCATTTGTATGTTTCCATACATTAGTTTTTGATAAAAAAAAGTTTATTTCTTTTTTTTTTATGAATTAAAATGTGTTGTGCCAAATGGTGAAATGAGTTAAATTAAGGTTTCAATCACAAAAAAAGTGTATTCATGTTTTGTACAATTTCTTTTAAATCTAGAATCTCATTGTCTATTGTTTGAAATACTTTTTTTGCATGATTAATGCATCAAATTACTCATTTATTTTCAAAAATACTGTTGACCAAAGAATGACCAGTATTACATATGATATCAAGAAGCAATTTCTTTTTTAAAAAAATTAACGATATTTAGTTTCTTTAGAAGAATATTTGTGCAATATGTTTATTTTAAAATTTCTTTTTTGTTTCTAACACAGCCAAATCAATGCTGAATAACAAAATAAATTTTATTTTGATTTTAATAAAAAAAAGCTCTTTGATATTTAACAAAACAGATTTTGTACACATTTTCGTTTTAATTTTAATGAATGTTTTTAAACCCCAAAAATTTAAATTAATTAAAAATGATTTTTGTGCTTTTAACATCACCCATAACTCATTTTGGTTAAATTCTAATCATTATACGAAATTTTGAAAAGGCTCAAATTTTTGATTCTGAATTAATTTCATATGAATTATTATTATAATTTATTTGATTGGTAACATTTAAATAAACTTTTTACTTTTTGAAAATTTTTTTTTTTTTTTGATCAGTAGTAATCAGTTTTTGTTCACCAGCGATGCCAACTTGCTCCGGACAACGGATAAATGTTTTCGAGTGGTAGTTTTTAATGTATGATTCTTTGTGTTGATTTAGAGTATTTTTACTCATCACTGCTTCTAAATAATTCAATGACTTTCCGGCATTCAGGCTGTGTCTAGAGTTTTAAAAAATTGGGAAAATGAATTAAAATCTGCAAATTTTAGTTTATAGTTCTCTACCAGTTTTCAAAATATTTTGTCTTCTCCGGAGTAGTTGGCATCTCTGTATAACTAATGAAAATAAATAATTTGATAAATAATTATTTTGAAATTTTATCATTCAACCAATCATTTTTATTATCATCTTATCGATAGAGTCTGTCTGTTGTTTACATTACTGTTTCCTACAATAAAATGAGCATTTTTAGAAACAGAAACATATTGAATTAACCACTAAATGTGCTGTAGTTCCTTTTATTTTTACTTTAACTTATCATTGCCAAAGATTTCTTTTTCTATTTTGCCAAATGCTTTTATCTTTTGATACTATCTTTATCTACACTGCCATGTTTACAAGTCACCATTTCAGAAAGGTGTTCTATTTTTATGCATTTATTATACAGTTTTAAATCCATTACAACTTTTAAACTGAAGAAATTTAAAATAATTTATACTTTTAGAAAGTTAAATTTTTAAAACAATGTTGTTTTTTTGAAATATACACATTGCCAAAGGTCGCCATCTGTCCTTCGTACTATTCATAAAAAACACATTATGTATTTTTTCTGATATAAACTTTTTTCATTAAATATTATATAATATTTTTTATGTCTTAATTTTATTTCTATTTCCATAAAATTCTTGAACTTAACTTCCTATAGTTTAAATAATTTTAAACATTACTTTGTTTTGTAACTTGTTAATGTTTTGAGTTCAAAGAAAAATTTTCAGTTTTTATGCAGTTTACTAGTCACTTCATTTTTGTCCTTAATTTTTAAAAATTCTGAGAAGAATAACCTTTTTGAGAACTGTTTTTTTTTACTCAATGCACTTTTTATTTGTAGTGAATAAAATTTAGAAAATTATTAATTATTTTTTTATTTAAGATGAAACATAATTGTCATTTTGATTTTTTCATTATATTCATTAAAAAACAAAGTGTTTTAAAAAGTATGGATTAAATTTCATGTTAATTTTTGCATTTAAATGTTTTATTTTTTGAACAAAATATTGTGCAATATTCCATATTGAAAATTTTGAAATATATCAGTCTCCTCTCAACACTGCTACTTTTTGTTTTTAAATTAAAATAATAAAAATAAATTTGTATAAATTGTTCTGTGTGTGTGTTTTTCTTCTTCTTGGACATACGATTTTCAATTCGCTATTATGGATGGTGTTTTCAATACAAATGTAAACCAAAATAATCCTCAAACTCCTTAATTTCACGACTTCCGACTATATAGTTTACAGCTGTTTACTACAGCTTATTGTGCAAGGCAATATTTTCAAACAGATAATTTTGTTTCCCATTAACAAAATAAACAATATAATTTGAGTGCAAAACTGTTGCATTTCATAAGTTATTAATGATATTAAGTAACTCTAGTGAGTTTGAAGCGAAAATTTGTTTTAGCTTTTTTTATAGATATTTTTAAAAAAAGGTGACATTGTTGCTAATATATAATTAGAAAGAACTTGCTTTTTGGCAGTCCAAAAGCATATTTTGATTCTTTCGATTTGTATATTACTAATTGTTCCTGTTGCTAGCAGTACACTATATATACATTAGTGTTAGTAATTAGCATAACGGAATGAATGTTTATTTTGCAAATTATCATTAAATTTAAATTTGGAAGTTAGTATACTGTTTAAGAGGAAATAAGTGTTTTATAACAATTTTTATTTTAATATTAATTTTAAATTTCTTAAACCACAAGTTTACTATTATTTCGCTATTTATGTTTATTATTACACAACTACATGTATTATCTTCGCTATTTACTGTCTTTTCATTATTTACTGTGTTCACTGTTAACACAATGAATACGATAAACCAAATGTAATGAATTTATGGCGCTCGTTATGACCTAGTAAAAACAATAGTTGACTTTTTAAGTCTTTTCAATAGATGTCTTATAAAATGTACCTAAAGATTTATACAAATAGACGATATCGAGCCGCGATGGCTCAGGGGATAGAGCGTTGGCCTTCCAATGAGGCAAACTGGGTTCGAATCCCAGTTGATACGAATTCCGCATCCGGCTTGCACCGACCACAGTACTGACGTGAAATATCCTCAGTGGTAGACGGATCATGGGTAAGAGTCCCCTTGCCGTTAGGCTAACCTTGGGAGGTTTTCGTGGTCTTCCTCTCCACGTAACGCAAATGCGGGTTAGTTCCATCAAAAAGACCTCCGCGAAGGCAAATTTCTCCCAATACTCGATCCGGGAGTTCCCTTGTCTTCTGGATTGGGTTCAAAATTACAAGGCTATGGAGTTGAACATTAGTAGTCGTAAACCCATAAAAATTTGGTCAGCTATTCAACAACGGTTATAAAATGAAATAAAATAGACGATATCACATAACAAATTTATTTGGATTCATTTTTCTTTTTGAAAAAAGAGCAATACTGATGAAAGAAGTTAGAAAAGGGAATAAATTATATGTCCATTTTCTTAAATGCGCATTTCGAGCAGTGTCCATTTTTGTAAATACAAATTTTTAACTGTGATAATTTTCTTAAACATGCATTTTGAACCAAGAGCATTTTCCTTAAGCACGAATTTCGAAAGCCGCTTTCATTTTCGTTATAAGCATTTGAGCTGAGTCCATTTTTGTAAGTCCCGCAGTGGACTGATCGTTAAGACACGTTTCCCAGCAGATCACCGAAGTCAAGCATCACTGGTTGCGGTCAGTGTGCGGGTGGGTGACCACTTGGATTAGTCTGCCTAGGGACCGAGGGTGTGCGGTATTGGTCCTCGTTTAACTGTTCTACCGTAAAGTGCTCGACTTCGCGTGCAGGTCGTCGGGCTACCGAAGCGGCGGTGCCAACCCCTCTGCAGAGGATCAAAATTGTGATGGCATGTCTTCGGATCATCCTCCGGGATGTTTCCCAGACCGTCGCCAAGCCCATTATGCAGCTCTAGTGCGACGTAAATGAACTACAACTACAACAACCATTTTTGTAAGCATGTTTTTGCAGCTGTGTTGCCAGATTTAAAAACTCCCCGACTCAATTCATATTTTCATAAAATATATTAACTGTGATCAAATCTGTGTAAAGTTGGCTTCTTGTGGGGCTATAATTTGATGGTCTATTTAGACAAGTAGTCAACTTATAAAGAGGGAATTCACTTATTTTTGCTAGGTGGTATTTGTTCATTAAGATCAACTTGATCAATATGCAGAGGTGGTCAACTTAATAGATTTCCCTGCATAACATATTACAAATTAGAACACTTATTCTTGAACACTCTTTGTTTAGCATTTATCAAACATTATTTAAGTAGAATAAAGTTTTATATTAAGTAGAATAACAAAATGTAGTAATCATTTTGTACCTCCTAGGTTTCCATGCTTTCTGTTGGATGTGCCTAAATTTTGCTTAGATTGTCTTTGCGATATCACAAGTTTCAATTGAAACTGTTGAAATTCAGAATCTTATTAAAGTGTCAGTTCTGAAAAATGGCTGTTTAACTTTCTTAAATGCAGTAATTTTGATCTTTCAGACTTGTATTGCTCCGGAAGACTATGCCCTGGAAAAAATTATTGAATAAGATGATAGGTATTACCTCACCCACCATTCTTTCATAAGATGAATTTTTATAAGATGCAGGTAGTATACCAAGGCCTTCAATTATGTAATAATATAACTTAATTTTATTTAGACTATATTATAGGTGTCGATCCTTGACAATTTCATCAGTTTCAATTCAGAAACACATTTAAATGCTACCTCTAAAAACGATATAGTTTCTTAAATTCGGTAATTTTGAACTTTCCAAATTGTAACAATCAGGATCTAAGAAAATAATTAGTGAATTAGGGTAGATGATACTGCCCCACCCTCCTTACTCACCTGGTATTTCGTCATCAGATTTCCATTTATTTCGAGAGCAGTACAATATTTTCTAAGGGGCTCTTCAAATATTATGTAAGCCTATTTTGGGCAATTTTGGTCTGCTTGCCAGCAAAAAGAAGTAAATTACAACCCCTCCATGGTTACCCAAGAAAGTTGGAGTAACCCCTCTTTTTTTTTTTTGCTTTAAGTTATATCGTAGTAATCTAATTTTCAGATGAAATTCAAATAAAAATATAACTTTGTACGAAACAAAATGTTACGTTTTCATTCATTTTATAAAATTCTAAGTAGAATATTCTTTAATGATGTTTTGCATTTTTATCCAGTGGTCAAAAGTCTTGACCATTGAAACTCTTTGAAGAAACATTTAGCTCTTTCTTTTTTTGAAAGTTTATTCCAAATTTAAAATTTTTCCAATTTTTTATGTAGTATATATATTGCATTTAAAAAAATTTTTAAATAAGGGAATTAGTTTAATCTTAACCCTCAGACCCCTACCTCT